AAGAAAATCGCTTTTATTGTTGTATAGTTAAAGAATATTAAGAAGACAAAACAAATCGTGAGTCATAGGCACAAGTAAGAATAAATTTTATTAGAAAAAATTATATATAAAAAAAAGCGAACTATTCTTCTTGTACAAACTATCTGGCCGTTTATACTTTTCTTGGTAGTTCTAGATGATATCTATAGATGCTATTCCATTGGTGTTGCGTTAAATATTGACCTCTTTACGATATTATCAACAGTCTTAATACAGATCATGATCTGGTATTATATTTGACATATCGTTAATTCAATAAAGGCTTCATTCTCAGGTTTTACATTTAATAATTATATAATTTATGTTTGACATGATGATCTATTTTTTATACAATATTATTGTGTAATGAATATTCACATTTATGTTTTATTATATATATATTTATAATGTTATGTAGAAATATAACATAGAAGAATCATCTAAACCCGTAGTATCCGAGATCTCATCAGAAACAGAAGACAGAGAAGTCCCATCTTCGAGGAGAGCATTTAAGTTAAAACTCAACAAGGATTCAACAGCCAAACTAGAATAAGAAGCACCAGAAGCAATAGAAGAGTTCATTTTAGTAATATTTGAAATGTTAGAGTAGTTCACAGAAAAAAGATGTTTTGATTAGCAAAAAGATAGAGAAAGAGAAATAAACAAAAGACAAGTCTGTGAAAACTTTGTATAGTTTATTAAAGATGATACATAAAACTGTACAACCAAAAATTATATGAAAAATTGAGGGCTATTTATATGTTTTTATAAGGTAAGTATTATCAATGGAAATATGACTGAGATAAGCAAGTATTACTATAATAAAGTGTTTTACATAAAACATTGTCTTCGAATAATTCAGCGATCAATAAGATATAGCTTTATTTCCTTTTTCTCCCTGAGTTGTCGCTGTTCCTAGAAATATAACGAATCGTTATTATTGGACTGCGACACATCAATATTAATCCTCAGTGAATATGCTCAGCTGCAATAATACCAATTATTTACGACTTACTCTCATTATCACTGTATATGATTTTGTAAAATAGCCAATACTTGATTGTTTTGTAGAAAATATATATTAATAAACTCGTAAAAACATCATCTTTTATTCCAGTATATTCACAAATGTGTTCTACTAAAAAATATTAAGAAATATTCACAATATACAAAAGTATATAATAAAGCTGTGAATATTCGTTCCATTTTGTGAATCACTGTACACATAAAAAAGTTGCTATGCGCTTAAAGTTGAACAAAAAAAATTATAGGCGGTAAGTTAAACAGTGATAATAAGCTTATATAATCTTTATTTAGTCTACAATAAGAAGCTATATCCTTAAATATTGTACAATGGCGTTTGCACAAAAACATATATGTATTATTTATATACTGGTCTACGAATTATAGTTTGCAAATAAAAGTTCTTATCCTATTGCTATAAATTAAATTAAAGGACAGAACTATAACATAAACTTGTTCAAAAATTATTCCATGTGGTTGATAATAACCTCAAATAAATAAGCAATATATGAATCCCCATACACATTGTTCATACAAAAATTAATAACTAATCAATTAGTTTCCAAATTGCTGACGAAACAATATAAGACTTATTCAAATATTGATATCTAAATAACAGGACTGATCTATTTTATCTCTAATAGGGCTACTTTCATGCTGTTTTACAAAGATTAGCGTTTTATTTTGAAACCTTGTTGATTTACGTATTGAGGGCTTCGGTATGGTTAGAGAGCATCAGGAAGGTTGGTAATAAGGAGCAGGCTTATTTCCTTCCATTGCATTGGTCGGACTTCGAACATATAATTTTTACATAAATTACAGCAAAAAATTAATTTTTATACCTATGCCCACGAGAGTACCTATGCCAAATTTCGTGTATTAAATTTACAAATACATTAGATATGATTATGTTAGTCAGTATACTATTATATATGACAAACTCGTAGTACTATTAAAATAAACCTATCTAATAAAGTTATAAACAAAATTTAGGAATATACTGTTAGCAGATTGATATATAAAGAAGGCTTGTACGACCACTTTCGTGTGACCCACTTTAGCTTTCTGTGAGATTCACTATAATGATAAGCTTTTAAACCCAATGTAATATTCTATCACCATCCACGCTTGTGGTAGTCAAACTGATATAGAATCTTTGCCGCATTAAAGTTAAATGCTTACTTGGCCTCTGTCTTTACAGGAATAGTGTAGCGACAGAAGATACAGCGACTTTCAGTAAGCGGCAAAACTGTGGCAATATTGATGTATTTTTAGGTATTTTATTCAAATAACTCTAATATGTAGTACTTGATAGCGCCATCTTTTGCTTTAATTACTACTTCAACACGTCTTCGCATACTTTCTATGTGTTTTAAGTATAGTTAAACTGTAACTTTAGGATACCAAACATCAGCAACTTGCTCCTATAACTCATCCATATTTTATGGTGGCCTATCATAGGCAGCAAGCCTGCACTTCAAATAAAACCAAAGGTTTTCAATTGGATTTAGATCAGGTGAGTATGATGGCCATTCAAGGACATTTATTTTATTTCTTTTGTACCAATTTCTTGTATATTTGGATGTATGCTTCGGATCATTGTCTTGTTGAAGGATCACATCTTTCTTACAAAGGCCATAATCCTTGAGCGTCTCCATAAAGTCACCTTTTAATATTTCACAATATAATTGTGTTGTGTATATAATGATGTATTACATAATATCTTATAATGTACAAATCAGAGTCATGAAGAACCGGATGATATTATAGTTATTAGTTATACACTTTATGCATACAATATTATTTGATTTCAGTTTATAAGACATTCTTGTGATGAGAAAAAATAATGTTATAATAAATACTAACTCTACAAAATAATGATAAGAAAAACATAGTGTAAGGAGTTATTAATGATAAAGATATATGAATTATAGATTATACCTATTAATTATATATATGCATTATTATTTAATGTTGTCTAAAATACTAACTTATAAATATAATCATATACTATCTATGAGAACTCTATTCTAATTGAATACACTATATAATATAATGAAATTCATTTAAGTAGTACATTGAGGAATGAATATAACATAAAGAAGCTGGTTAGAATATAAATCTATATATCAAAAGTGTCTTTCCTATATCATTCACAAGTATGAACAAACGAGATTTTATTATTTTGTTTCAAGAAAAATAACCGGCTAAATCAAGCACCAATAATTTAATGTTTATTAGAGTTAACTGAGATTAATTCTCAGTCAGGGCAAAGACTAGAGCTCTAACACAATAATTTTAATTATTCTATGGGAAATATTCTTCTTTCAAGATATCTTCACTCTGTTCCTGTCTCGAAGTAACCCGTTCTCCACAAGATATAAATAAGGATCCATTTTGCACTCATCTTTTAAAAACTCAGTTTTTTCATTTTTTAATTTTTTAATTTTTAATTTTCATTTTGATAATAAAAGTTTTATACAAAGTTTTCACAGATTTATTCTGTCTTATTCTTTTGTTATCTTTGTCTTATCAACAAATTGCGAGTCCATTCTTCCCTCAATCTTGGCAATAAAACCAGGACCATGTTGCGTGAAACAACTGCATAACATTAAGCTTCCACCCCCACCTTTGTACTTAAAGTTGACGTTACGGTCTTTTAGAGGTTCACCCTTTTTAACCTATGTCCATTGCTTTCCATCTGAACCCAAACGATTGATTTTTCTTTCGCCACTGAAGATGACCTTTTCCCAATCCTCAACCGACCAGTTTCTATGAGCTTTTTAGCCCATTTTTAACAATTTTGTCTACGCTTATTCGTCAATAGTAGCATATATTTCTTAATTTTCAAATCAAAGTCGAATGATTTTAAGAATCTGCGAAATGGCTTGCGTGGAAATATCATATCCTTGAGCATCATGTAAGTTCAGGGGAGAGGTAGCATCGATTGCAGTGATAAAATAACCAGTATAAATAGATCGCGCAATCAATCTTCTTTGGTGTACCTTCTTTCAAGTCCATCTTGATTTGATTTTCTCTGGCAATTCTGGCAATTGTCCTAATGGGCACACCCACTATTTTAGAAATATCTATAAGATTCCTGAGCATTAAGTTTTGCTAATATAACACTCTTTTTATCGTAAGGAATTTGTCTCATTCTAATGTATGTAATGATCTATGTATGTGTTAATGAGAATCATTCACAAATATTGTTCAGATTAGTAACGAATTTGAAGAAAAAACGATACTATGTAGGAAGTAAACCTTTTTGTTAATTCAATAATGATATTAAATTATTTAAAATAAAAAAATGTTGGTTTTCTTTAAAAAAATGTTGGTTTTCTTAAAAAAAATTGATAGAAAATATTATTATGCAGCGAAATGGCTAAATCGAATAAAATGATATGATCGCTGTCGAAATGAACATTCATGCATGTAAATAATACTAAGAAGCTGTAAAAGTAATATAAATTTTGTCGACTTTCCATTAAAAATACTTCTATTAATGTATCTTTATTCATTTATGTTGTGCACTAAGGAAAGCCAAAAATTAGAAAACATTGCCAAGCTTTTGTGAGTCACTGTATTTGTATAACACATTGGTACAGGGTAATTTAAGAACGTTTTATATCTAGAATGATTTGCTGCTGGCCAAAAAGATGATCAAATCTCTTTCATTGTTTTTACTAATGAAGGAAGACAATTACCCTGATACACATGATATGGAATTCTTGGAACTGCTCCTCCAACAAACGTAAGTCCAGCATTCTTTTTTTTTGGATTTTATTTAAACCTATAAATTAACCAATGTTTATTTAGACGTAAATCTTTTTCATTATAATACTTCTGAGGATGCATTTAATCAACTCTTTATCTAGCCATACCTTGATATCATTAGTAAGACTATCACGCTCCATAATTTTAAATCAGATTTTGTGCAAGGACAGCCCTATTTAAAGAGTATGAGCAGGCAATTAAAAGCTTGTAACCTATATATTGATGATGAAAATCAATATAAATCTGACGGTTTATTAAAGCTTTTCGGGTTGAAGGAGTTAGAATTGCTGTTGTTAGAGACTTCCGACTGCCTTATAAACAAGGATAGAAATAAGACTAATTTCGACCATCATAAAAGCGTGTTTGGTACATTGGTGATGCTTAAATGTATCGCTGATGATTATGCTTTTGGATCAGTTGTAAATTTTACAAAGGTTAAAGTGTTTTTTCTGCATGCAGTAGGTAAAATTTTAACAATCTATCAGCATATAATTTTCCATTAATTTTCTTTTCTGTAAAAAAAAAAGAAAAGACAGTGAATTACATTTCTGGAGTGTTTGCTATCAAAAAGAAGATGTTTTCGATCTCTGGAGAGAGTCGACACTTCTTATCAAGCCAGACTTTCAGGATAAGGAAGATTTCGTACTTAATTTGATGCAATTCTGTTGGGATATTAAGGTAACGTATAATCTCATATAGAATTACATATGTAAAAGCACTAATGGCATTGTCAAAATGATGTAAAATAGAAGAGTCTGTACGAAACATTATACACTTGGTAAAAAAACTGGTACACAGATATATTTCTTAATGTATTGGCTATATTTCTATGACAATGCATAGTATATGTATAGAAATGGGCCAAATATTAGCTACAAGGATTTGATATATGTTTGTGAAATCTAAATAAGATTGGTAAATTTTAATTGGACAAAATATATATGATAAGCTTTATTACGTAATCAGCTCAGAAACAACGACAAGATAAATTCAGTTAGTATGTAGTTAATATTTTGTATATTCTCCTTTAGCTTTAATAACGGCCTGAAATCTTGATGGCGTACTCTCGTAGTAAGGCAACATATCTTCTTTCTGAAACTTATTTCATTCTTTGTCAATTCTATTCCATAATTCATTAATGTTCTTTGGGTGTGTTGGATATTTTGCCAATCTTATCTTTAAGTGATACCAAAGGTGCTCTATGGGATTTAAATTGGGACTATTAGGTGTCCATACATGCATATAGCTTATATCTTTTGTTTAGACCATCTTCTAGTAAATTTCGATGTGTGCTTTGTGTCACCATTTTGTTGAAGGATAACATCTTCTTTACTCCACTCATAATACTCTAATGTATCTATGTATGTAGTCCCTAGCCTAGGATATACGTGTATCCTTCGGAATCAAAAGTTTTATCTTCTATTTTACATGCATAACCTGGTCCTTCGGCTGTCATACAGCCCCACATCAATAAAGAGCCACCATTATGCTTTAAAGTTTGTTTATAGTGATGAGAGCGAGTAGGATGACCCCTTTGCTTCCAAGTACATTGAACCCTATCTGACTCCCATATGTTTATCTTCGTTTTATCTGAGAATATAACTTTCTTCTAGTCTTCAATTGTTCATTCTTTATATTTCTTAGCCCAATAAAGTCGTTTCTTTATATGCTCATATCTGAGAAAAGGTTTCGATTTTTTTAATGCTACATAAAAGCCAAGCTGATATAAAATTCCAATCGTTCGACATGATTGCGCTTCAGCCATTGATGGGAATTGACGCATTTTTTATATAGTTTCAAAAAAATGATTTTATTATAAAAAGTCATTACGACGTAATGTAACGTTAGACGAATGTCATTATTTTATCTAGTGTTCTATATTCTTTCAATTACATTTTAGATCAACTTTCTGTCTTAAGAGAAACACGAGATACAACAATTTTGCATTTTATGCATCAGTTTTTTCACCTACTGTATAAGTCTGTCACGAGTTTCATCTGATTTGTCTGTGGCGCTTTTTCGCACAAACTCGATATTAATCCACTCACTATATGAATTTTGAATGTGTTTCTTGAAGTATTTTTTGTTGACATGAAGGTTTTCTTGTATGCTTTTCTTCAATACATATAATGATCTTCCTCTTTCTGGCGCTTTATTCCCACTGAGCTTCTTTTGAGTCTGAACACCAAAGTGGTCTTTATGTTTATTCAATAACAAAGAAAACTGGTGCAGAGAGTATATATGTTGCAATCTAGCGAAATTGAAACTTAAAATTTTGTACATTTGATTATTGGTAAGGAAGTCGTAGTCATACAGCTAATTATTGTTCGGTTCTTATTTGGTGAAAATAGATTTAGTTGTATCTAAAATACTTTCCATTGAATAGTTAAAAGCATCAGTGCTCGATGTTGATGACGTTACAGTTATCACAGATCCATCTTTATCATCGTTGTTTTCACCTACAATGTCAATTGTTGATAAGATAAAGATAACAAAAGAATAAGACAGAATAAATCTGTGAAAACTTTGTATAAAACTCTTATTATCAATAAAAATTTTAAAAATAAAACTTAAAAACTCAATTTCTAAAAAAAGAGTGCAAAATGAATCCTTATTTATATCTTGTGGAGAACGGGTTACTTCGCGACAGGAACAGAATGAAGATACGGTGAGGATCAAAACTATTCAAATGTTTTCATTTTTTAACTTTGTAACCGAATTATATGCGATAATTGTATAGAGGGATATAGTAAATTATATATTGTCTTAAAGAGAAAATTAATGGCATTCTAATACAGTGACTCACAAAACTGAGCGAATGTTTGATTAATTTTACAAAATGTTCAATTTATAAGACAAAACACTCTTGAAACTCTAGCATACAATATATCAATAGAATGCTTGTTTTCTAAGGAATTTAATGATACCTTTGTTGATGATGTACAGTGACTCACAAAACTATCCCAATGTTTTGCACTTTTCTCTTTAACTGACCCGTTCTTCTTTTGTAATCAAGCTAGAAAGATATCGAAGATATCATTCGATAGCCTAAGTAATTCTCTATCAAGTCATTACCAAAAATAGTAATATAATTTAAAACTCAGCGTAAAATATTAAATAAAAAATTGAATATGCATTGGGACAGTTTTGTGGCCGTACCTATAAAAATAAAATCTGTCCCACAATTTGGCAGTAACTTCAGCCTAGCATATAGTAGCAATCGTAGTATTTCTTTGTGCCTTCCACAGTATAATTAAGGTAAGTTCTAAAATATTCTATAATTTTGGGGACTAAATCTTGAGGCCATATTGTTACAGTGAGGATCAAAACTGTTCAAATGTTTTCATTTTTTAACTTCGTAACCGAATTATATGCGATAATTGTATAGAAAGATATAGTAAATTATATATTGTCTTAAAGAGAAAATTAATGGCATTCTAATACAAGTGTTCATTAGAAAATTAACAGTTTTTATTGGTTTAATATTAGTGTTTAAAAGTGCGGAGTCTATTTGAACAGTTTTGCACCCGCCTTCCAAATTTCAATTAGACCACAATGTTGATTTATTAATAGGATGTCCAGTATCCCTTTGCTTTGATACACTCTTATATACGTCTTGGCATAGTGTCTATTACTTTTCTACACTCTTCTACAGTGATTACATTATACCAAATATGTACAACGCGCTCGTATAACTCATTCATGCCTTTGGGCGGTGTATCATACTCATTAAGTCTAATTTTTAATAGTCTCCACATGTTCTCAATTGGATTAAGATCAGGAGATTGCGCTGGCCACTCCATTACTTGATACTCTTGTGCTGCAAGGTAATCCATGACTATATTTGAGGTGTGTTTTGAATCATTATCTTGCTGAAAATGAATTTGATTACGACGCAGACGTAATTTTTCACAGGTAAAGTCAACCATCTTATTAAGATCCTCATCCAAAATGTCTTTATATGGATAACGATCCATACTACCATCTATTTTACAGATCCAGCCAACTCCAGCGTACGAGATAGCGCTCCAAAACATGAGGCCACCACCACCATGCTTTCTGGTTTCCTTGACATGATGTGGTTGCAACTGCTCTCCATCACGGATCCAACCCCAGACACGTCCGTCTGAGTTAAAACGATTAACTTTAGTCTCATCCGACCAAATAACTCTTCTCCAATCGTCTAAAGTCCAGTCACGATGAGCCATGCACCATTCAAGTCGCCTTTTTGCATTGGTTTTGCTAATGGCCGGTTTTTTTTGCTTCTCAATTGCACCAAGGCCAGCACCTCTGAAAGTACGGCGAACTGTATGTACACTTGCATTGACACCGAGTTCCGTTTTAAGCTCTTGTCGGACTTTTACAGCGTTATCCATACGATTTCTAGTTACTAAACGTACACAGTAACGCTTATCCGCATTTGATAAGACTTGTGGTCGTCCCCCTTTTCCTTTTTCTCGCTCCGAACAATACTTTTTACCAACATTTGAAACAGTTCCAAAACTTACTCCGACATGTTCAGCCACTTTACGAACTGATTCACCCGATTGAAGAAGAGAAACAATACGATTACGTTGTTCAGATGTAATTCCACGCATACTTACTAGTTAATTCTCGAATTATTACTGATTATGTGGTGTGTTAAGCAAAAAAAGTTTATGGAGCAAAAATTTGAGAATTTTGAACGTTTCCTGTTCGATTATATGCTGTCTGTACCGCGATACCAAATTGTGGTATTGAGTTTTGTGAAGATTACATTTCGGGAGCAAAACTGTTCAAATGTACCCATCAAATTTAAAGCCGAAATACAAAAATTATCGGAGATTTAATTCGACAAAAAATATTTCATCTGATAGAGCGGAGTTTTACGAGTAAAATGATACTATTTCTGTGGCATAACTCTGATGGTTTGTATGGGAAAAAATTAAAAATGTCAAATAATGCTAAACATTTGAACAGTTTTGATCCTCACTGTACTATCTGAAATTTTACTCTTTCGTACCTCAAGAAGTCAAGAAACGACAAAGTCAGTATTTTTTTCACTAGTAATATATTAGAAAGCCATTCCCATAAAAGAAAATTGCATTTTTCAAAGTCCGACGGCCGTATATGGGGAAGGATCCATATTAAAGAACGACTTAGATGGGCAAAGAAGTATAAAGACTACACAGTCGATGATTGGAGAAGGGTTATTTGGTCTGACGAGACCAAAATTAATCGTTTTAACTCCGATGGACGTGTCTGGGCTTGGATAAGGGACAATGAAAGTCTTCAAATGCGTCATATTAAGCAGAATTATAAACATGGAGGTGGTTCAATCATGATTTGGAGTTGTATTACCTGCGTCGGAGTTGGCTGGATGTGCAAAATAGACTCTACTATGGACGGAGAGCTTTATAAGGAAATCCTTCAAGACGAATTAGAGAAATCTATCGAAATGGTGTGCAAGCAAACAGGATTAAGGAGAGACCAAATCGTCTTCCAGCATGATAACGATTCAAAACATAGGTCAATTCCAGTCAAAGAATACTTGAAAAGCCAGGAATACGAAGTTCTTGATTGGCCATCACAGTCTCCAGACCTTAATCCTATTGAACATATGTGGGCTCTAACAAAAAGAAAACTTAATGAGTATGAGACACCACCTAAGGGTATTTGTGAGCTTTTTGAAAGAATTACGGACGTATGGTACAATAAGATCGCCAAAGAAGATTGTTTAAGAGTTATAGACTCTATGCCCGACCGTTGCAAAGCTGTTATAAAGACAAAAGGTCGTTAGACTGATTATTAGTTGTTCAATGTTTAAATTAAATAAAATTAACTTACGGCCACAAAACTGTCCCAATGCATATTCAATTTTTTATTTAATATTTTACGCTGAGTTTTAAATTATATTACTATTTTTGGTAATGACTTGATAGAGAATTACTTAGGCTATCGAATGATATCTTCGATATCTTTCTAGCATGATTACAAAAGAAGAACGAGTTAGTTAAAGAGAAAAGTGCAAAACATTGGGACAGTTTTGTGAGTCACTGTACTGTCTATACCGCGATACCAAATTGTGGTATTGAGTTTTGTGAAGATTACATTTCGGGAGCAAAACTGTTCAAATTTACCCATCCACTTTAAAACCAAAATACAAAATCTATCGGAGATTTAATTGCACGAAAAGTATTTCATTTGGTAGAGCGGAGTTTAACGAGTAAAATGATACTATTTTTGTGGCAGAACTCTGATGGTTTGTATGGGAAAAATTTAAGAATGTCAAATAATGCTAAACATTTGAACAGTTTTGATCCTCACTGTAAGTGAAAAAAATAAGGTATCTATTGCTCTGATCGAAGCCAGTAGTGCAGAAATTGCAAAAAAACTACAGGTAAATGATAAATAAATAGGGTGCTTTGATATACATGTTGACAATAATACGTTTTATTGTCATTAAAATACAGGTACCGGTGGCAGAAGAAGAAGAGGAGGAAAAACAAAAGACAGAAGATAAAGACAACAATAATGAACAGACTTTAGAGGAAGAAGATGGTGATGAGAATGATGCCTATTCACATGAAGGAAGTGATGATGCCACTGACAACAGCTTAAAATATATTTTAAATAACAACGAAGATGAACTTAGAAGTGTTATATCATCAGATGAAGCGGTTCCTGCCTATTTGAAACAATTTGAATTATTTCAAATGAAGGCTTTTAAAAAGGCAAAAACAGTTGGTCTCTTTGTTAATGCAGATTTGTATCAAATTTTGTAAGTAAAAATTTTTATTTTTATATATTTATCTACTGATGCCTTTACCTTAGATCTTTATATCATATTATATTATTGAAGAAAGGTCGGGCTTATCCTGACATAAATATAGATGACTTAAATAAGTAGATGTTGGAATTTTACAAGTGCGATACAAATATTGAAAAAAAAACGTTTGATGCTATAGCGAAAGTATTCAGGGTAAATAAGCTTAAAGGTTAACATGGATTTATTATGATATCTCATGTATTCTTTTTTTTAGGGCATTGGTGATGTTCCTGATAGAGATAGATTAAAGATCAAATTATTTAAAATATACAAAAAAGCCGAAAAAGAAGACCGAAAAGTCATTGATATTTTAATCAATTTGTGAGTAGTATACACACAGTAAAAGGAAAATTTATAATTAGGATCCATAAACTAATCTGATTCTTTATGTTAGATTAAACAAATTACCGAATGAAGAAACTATAAACTATACTATTGAAGAAGAAGAGCTTATTAACAACTTCGTTGATCCTATACTCAGTCCTTTATTGCATAGACCAGAAAAAGAAAAACATTTTTTATGGTAAATGAACTGACGCGAACTTATAATATTATCAATAATATTAATTCTACATCTAATCGATAGGCTAAACAAAATAGTGACAAAATCATACAATACCCGTCCTAATGCTGGTTGTGCGCTTATTCATGAGATTTATGAGAGAAGAATCCAAAGGTTTTCCTGTTTTGCCGAGGTGAAGGCAGGGTTAATATTGCAAAGAACCCCGTCGGAGTTTGATTTTTTGATTTTCCTTTTTTGGAAATTGCCCAATGGTCGGTATGCTTCTTATCCACTCTCAAAAATATCTGAGAATGTCGAGTCTGACAAAAGTGAGGAATCAACCATTCCTCCTTTAAATGATATTCCCATAGAAATCGAATTAATATATAAAAAACAACAAATGTTGAGCGTAATGCAAAAAGAAGTAGAAGATTTATTTCGTAGAAATTATTTACTATTATGACATAATCAATCATCACTAACTATATTCTTGTGTTATTTTTATTCTTCTATTTTTATATACAAATTGAATTGCAATAGTATATATATTGTAAAAAGATAATTTAATAAAGGATCATCTTCTCTTCTATTTTAAAACTATATAGTGCTGTGCGTGTATAGTTAACCACTGAGAGTTGAACTAGAAGTCTCACTAGAATAACAAGGATCAGACATATTTGTCGTTTCTTGACTTCTTGAAGTATAAAAGAGTAAAACTTCAGATAGTATTAAACAAAATAACAAAGAATATAATTAAGTTTTTATAATATTTAATGGTTATCTTTATTTAAAATTAATAATTTTTCGATACTTATATTTGTTTGATTGTAGTCGTATTTACAACTAAGTTAATAGAAATAAACTATCATTTATTTAAATAATAAAGAGTTTATTCGAATAAAACTAGTGGATGGCACTTCACAGCATAATATTCATTCTACGCTCAGTTTTAATAATAGTCATTGTTAGAGTATTCGAGCATTAAAAATAATTATAGACATCGTGTTATGTAATAAAAAGAATTTAATAGATTTACGACTGTTATATTCAATTACATAATTAGTTACATAAGTTATACATACTATATATTCATCCATAATGTTGTATAGGTTTATAGAGGGAATATTCACTGTAAATTAATATTAACGCGTTGCTTATCCCAAAGACAATAATTGTGTATATTTTTAATAACAACAACAGCTCAGACAGAAATATGCATACTGCATGCAGAGTTATTCGGAGACAGAATTTGTGCATATTTGTGCATATTTGTGCATAAAGGCTTTATTATAGCAGTATTCACTTATCTTAATCAATACTCCTATTAATATGACTTACCATACAAAAACATATAAATAGCCCTCGTCATTTTTCCATATTATTTTCTTCTTGTACAATTTCTGTATTATTTTTCTTTAATAAACTATACAAAGTTTTCACAGACTTGTCTCTTCTTTTTCTCTTTCCTTATCTTTGTACTCAAAACAATATCAAATTTGCTATAACAATGAAGTTTATGTGCCAACAGGGAAAATCGTGATTATAGTAAAGATGCATAAGTGTTGTCTTCCTGATTTTCTCATGTTGTCAACTAATTATGTCGACGTCTTCTATTTTCACAAATTATGCATAATTTTGACTTCTTTCTTCTCACGTCTGAATCCTTTACTATCGGCTTAAATCTTCTTTTATTTTGCCTATTAATTCTAAACGGTAGATTGTACTCTGCTTCTATTGGTTGGTTCTCTACTTCGTTCCTAATAGACTGGACAATCCAACATATTTTAGCTGTAGGTTATCACTACTAGTGGTATTACCATAAAAGGAAAATCATTTTTCAAAGTCCGACAGCAGTGTATGGGGAATTAACCAAGGAAGAGGCATACGATCAACAGATTGAAGGAGAGCATTTACATGACGAGGATCATGATAGACTCTATAGCCTGTGATTTCCAATTTTTGATTCAGGAGAACCACTGATTTCTTGATAATTTGTAGGTAAACCCATTATACCAATCCCAATATTACTCATACAATCAATACCAATACTCATATCATAATTATTAGTTAAATTCATTACTTCAAATTTACGACTTATAGTTTTATTGTTACAAGAAATAGAAATTAAAGCTGTTCCAACTATCTTGACATTACTTTTAGAATCAGCTAATTCAATAAATTTATTATCATCACTAGAAATGGGGCTTATAGGTATATTATGGTTTAAATAAAAATCTTTATTAATAGAACTAAAATTTGCATCTGTATCTAATATACTAATTGCTTTTATTGATTTAGTTTCTTTATTTTCTTTTCTAACATGAATTATAATAGGAAAAGAAATAGAATTAGGATCAATATGTTTAAAATCTTTGGCTACAACAGAATTTTGATACTTACAATCCAAAGACATTCTATTTAATTGCACGATGTTATCATCTTCATCATTATTGTTTTGTACCGATCTTTTAGCCATTCTGTTTATCTTATTATTTTTATTGTTACTAATCTTGTCATTATTGTTTTTGTGATGGAATGTCAATAAAAATAAAAGATAAAATAAAAAGAGAAAAGAGAACAAAAGGAAGTATAGTTTGAGACTGTTTTTATTCAAAAAAAATAAAGAATGTTAAAAGAAAGTTAAAGAAGAAGTTAAAGATTATTTTGTGTCTAAACAACTGCTTGTATTTATATTAATGAATCCTGAATCAAAGAAATAGAAATAACCGTCAAAGAACATGAGTCATGAAACAGTGTTAGTATTCGTATATACGTCTTGTTGATTCAAGAGACTGATCTATGGATTATCTATTGGGTGTTATAATGATCTGATCAAGTTTTAAATAAAAAATTTATTGTTTAATCTGAGTATATGTTCCTGATATCTTTTATGTTTTATTTTATTGGATCAAAGACGACTTGAATCCTTTGTCAAGGCTATAAAAATAAATATTTAGAAATGATACGATGTCTTATAATTGATACATCTAGACAATTGGATGTCAATAAGTTTTATATTATTTACAAGATGTTATATACAGAGTTTTATTTCATATTCAGGCTTATATTTTATCCTGTATTATGTAATTCATCTATTATAATATTACTCATGATTATATCCAGAGCTTGTTCTATAACAGTTTTGTTTATTAGCTTTTTTAGCATCTACAAATTCTTGACACGGCGACCCTTTATCCAAGGTTTATTACAAAGGGTGCAAGGCTTATTAGATAATGACAAGTTACGAGAGGTATAAGAATCAGATACTTTACTAGGTTTGTTAGAACCTTTATTAGTATGACGATTGGAATTTTTATATGACTCATGAGGACCTTCATGACATGGACGTTTAACAGGAGGAGCAGCAAAGGAACTATCTTCACCGGAAGCAACAACAAGATCAATAATTTGATTTATAGAGGTAGGTAAGTTGGTGCCAAAGTGAGACGCTATGGCTACTTGTGAACGGGCACGAACAGATTCTCGAAGTGAGACAAAAAATGAAACAGCCAACTGAGTTCCATCTTCTATTCCTGTTTCACGACGAAGTTTTTGATACCTACTTGCGTATTCTCTGTTTGTTTCATACCTGTCTTGCTTCAAGGATCCAACTTCCACCATCAATAAAAACTTTCTATATGGTGTATCAAAACAATCTAAGATACATGCTTTAGCTTCAGACCACGCCAAATTCCGACCAACCAAGACTTCTTCGAACCAAGACATTTGTTCAGTATTCATACACATTGGTAAGAGTCTTTCCCAATTTAAATTAAAATCTTGTAAGTGGGCACGAAGAACCTTCTCCAAAGAAATACAAAAGTCATGGGCACTGTCGAAAGCTTCTTCGTCCTTTTTCCAAATATTTTCCCCTTTTAACTGCAGTTTAGGTAGAACAGGAGGAACAACAGCACGAATGGTAGGCATAGTATTAACAGCAGCAGGAGAACTAATGGACATTTTATAAGAAATATGGGCTTGTTGGAAACGAGTTAATTTTTCCAAGAATTGGTAATAGGCTTCTGAAGCTCTTGACGCTTCTGGGGAATCAGGAGCTTTTCCACACAACGCAGTATAGATAGCAAAAAGAAAAGAATAGTACTTTTCTTTTTCATTGCTTCTAAGACGACTTTAGCATTAGAAGCAGCTTCTTCAGGAGTTATATTAACAACTGGAAGATTATCCAGATCTTCATCTTTTTGATGTTCCGTAGTATCTTCAGACAAAGATTTATTAGTGGAGTTAGAATCAGTTTCAGTCTCTTCACCAGCCACAGTAGAGTCTATATTCATTTCTGAGGGCTTGTTCTCCGGAGCATCTGGAGAGGTAAGTTCAGGATTCATAATAACCATCGAATAAAAGAAGAATTTAAACTATAAAAATGTGATGGAACGTAATATTTAAAAAAGAGAAAGAAGAGAGAAAGGGAACAAAAGGAAGTGTAGTTTGAGACTGCTTTTATTCAATAAAAATAAAGAATAAGAATTGAAAATTAAAGAAAAAGTTTTTCATGTCTACACAACTGCTTGTATTTATATTAATGAATCCTAAATCAAAGAAATAAAAAATATAAGTCATGAAACAGTGTTAGTATTCAGATATACACGTCTTGTTGCTTCAAGAGACTGATCTATCGATTATCTACTGAATGTTATAATGATTTGATTTAAGATTTAAATTGTTTGACCTGAGTATAGGCTCCTTATGTCTGTTTTATTGGATCAACGGCGACCTGAATCCCTTATCAAAGTTATGAAAAAATATTTAGAAATGATATGATGTCTTATTTAGTTGACATATTTAGATGACTGGATGTCAATAAGGCTTATATTATATTATTTATAAGATGTTATATACAAGAAGACATGATGTCTTTTATTATATGTTCAGGCCTATAGTTTATTCTCTATTATGTAATTCATCTTTCATAATATTACTTACGGCTATCTTTAGAGCTTGTTCTATAGCAGCGGGTTCTATAACAGCTAAAAAAGCAGATTATGCATGTAAAATAGAAGATAAAAC